CCTTTTGAATGCGTTCAGCTTATCGAGTCATGGAGTGAACGGGTAGAAGGATGACCCACAAGACACCTCAACAACTCTTTGAACATGTTAGTAACAAAATATAATCCTGGGCTCATGATCACAACTGAGCCCCAAATTTCTGTTGTTAAGTGAGCAAGTTTTGAGTTTTGCGCCATTTCATGACTTTTCTTGCCTTACATCTTTAAGTGAGTCACTGCGGTTGTTCACTTAGTGCCATGGTTGTTAGTAGACCTGGTTTCCCCCATTGGTTTTGCTCGTCAGAAGGGGATGGCAAAGGGGAATCACATGATTCTGGGACATTGCAACTGACATAAATGTAAGTCCGTTGCCAAGAGTCTGAATTTTGATCACGTGACCATGTGAAGTGTCATTAAGTGTGGAAAACAGCCATAAGACACTTTTTCCAGGGATGTAGTAATTTTAAACAGTCACTAAATGAGTGAGGACTGGCTGTCTGCTTAACCTCAGGTGCTTCCTCACTATTAAGGGTTTTGCTCTGCAACTCCATTATCAAACAATATAAAATCAAGACCAATAGATCTGATAGAGAGATAGAGGGATAGATTTATTTAACAGCGCTTTTCACAACAGGAGTTTTGTGTTTTCTGACTGCATTTATTCACAGTCCTTAAGAATGATAAAATCATACCGAAGGAGTAGCAGGACAAAATATGTAACTGGAACAAGAATCAAACACTTCCCACGATTGCAACGATCCATTCCATCAAAAACAAACATCTAGTTGTTGTTTTTTCTTCTTTTTAACAATGTGCATAAAGAGGCAGCAAATAAATTTTAAGCCTTCCTCACTCTCTTCTAGCAACCTCCAACAATGCTGAGGTTGCAGAATTTCCAAGCAAGACAGCTTTCTGGCACCGGGAACTTTATCCTACATCCCTCGGAGTCACAGAAAACGCACTGAGATATTCTCAAACAGATACAGAAATAAAATCCTACCTATAAAGATATAAAGATTATCCTAGGGCAGGAAGGATAAATTAAAAGCCTGAGTAGAGATCTACCAAGGGGAGCCAGGAGCCTTGACACCCACCAGTCAAAAAAAATCAAAATAAATTATTTCGGCAAGTTATTAGAAGTCATTTTGGGCTCACCCAGAAGACAATGACAATGACAGAGACAACCTTATAAATTGTTGGAGTTGCAAACACACACACACACACACACACACACACATATCCCCATCAAGACAGAACAATTATGTTGCAGAAGAATTTAAAACAGAAACATATATATATATAAACACACATACTCACACACACACACACACACACACACACACACACACATATATACACACATACATATACATATATACATACATGTGTGTGTGTTTCTTGAAGCTAGCAATTTTATCACCATGGCTGGCTGGGGAACTCTGGGAGCTGGTCCACACATCTTAAAACTTGCCAAGCTGGAGAAACACTTATATAGAACAATTTGGTTAAATTCGATCTCTGGCCCAGATTTACTCTCTAACCTCTGCGTTTTCTTTTGGTCTGCATTTCAGCCACAAAAAAAACCTCCATCTGCTTCTCATTCTCCTGCTGTGCCTCTCCCCCAACCCCAACCCCAGGCAAAATAGGGGCTTTGGAAGGCTGCAAAATGAAGAATAAAGAACAGGAAAGATTTATTGCTCTTACTTGTAGGGATGTTAATTCCAAGTCATCCCCCCCACCCACCCCATTTTCCTAAACAAGTAGCTGGAATGTACTTTGCTGACAGAGCGCAACTTGTTTTTTTCACCTGAGGTGAACCAAGCTCACAAACTCCTTCCCCTGTTTCTTTTAAAGTTAGATATTTATAAACACAATTCATGTGCCCCAAAGGTCACGCAGACTTCTTATTGGCAGCCTCTCCACAAGAGGCTTAGCCTGATTAATAAGGAATAAAACGATGTTATAAAGTTTTGCTGATGGATACACTATGATTCGAACACATTGCCTCTAAGACTAGGCAAATAAACCACACAAAAACTAACCAAAGTTGAAACGAAAGTTCATTACATTTTGCAAATGCGGCTATTTATATCCTAAACGGATTTAGGTAAAGGGGGGCTGTCAGGTGAACAATAGCCACGTGAGGTCCACTGCCAATTTCCTAAAACAATTCTGCTTTTTCCGTTTGCCTGCAAGTTTTCTCAGAGATGCCATATTAGGACTAGACATTCATTTCTCAAGCTTAAGATGGTTCTTTCGAAACAATGAACATTATGCAGAAGGAAAATAGAAGTAAATTAGTACACAATTCTCTCAGTAATGGTATCCATGTATCATAAAGTATACTTTACTTCTTATGAAAGCTAGTCTCCCTGATTGACGATCTTGTTCTAAACAAGAGCATCAATCAACATTAGAGGGTGATTGTTTTTGTATTCCTCCTTTATTTTTTTTTTACAAATAACTCAAGACAACAAACTATCCAACAACACGCCTTCTTCCTCCTATTTCCCCGAGGAACCAACCTGTGAGGCTGAGTTGGGCTGAGAGAGTGGGGACTGGCCCAAAGTCACCCCAGCCAGCTTTCATAGCTAAGGTAAGATTAGAACTCAAGACTCCCACTTTCTAGCCGGGTGCCTTAAGCACAAAACCAAACCAGCTCTCTTCCAAAGCTCCTTCCAAAACGGCACTTAATGGACTCAAAATCTAAGGTGTAGGAGGTAAGGATACACGAAATAGCTTCAAGTCACCCACAGAGTTTCCTTGGTCAGGAATAGAGAACCTGTCTCTTTCCAAATGAATTAACATAGTCAGCCTCCTTCATCTTAGCCTGCCAGGTTACAGCCTATTCGGAACTCGGCTGCAGAAGTGGGGTTGAACATGCACATGCACACAGGTACAAAACTGCATTTGTGAAAGCGGCACACACGAAACCATCTGCTCTTCACCACCACCCCGCTGCCAGTCCACCGAGCTGGAAAGGTTGAGGAACGCTGTCTTAGACCGTACGAACTTCAATTGTTGGTTAATGGGCTACAGATTTAGGTTACAGATTACTTGCACCTTCTCTAAGAGGCCAAATTCCTTACCACTTCCTCGTAATTTGCACCTGAGTGGTGCTTTTTATCCCTTCTATCCCAGATTTATGACAGAGGCAGGGAAATTTAACCCTGCTCCAAAAATCTAATGATCAACATGGTGGCTGACTGAAATTGATCAGATCCAGCAACTGAAGATCCTCTACTTCTAACAAATAGATTTGGGGATTGTAAAAGGAAATAAAAAGAAGCATTTTTCCCCTCTGTCCCCAAACTTCTTAACAGAATAAAACAGTGTTGGGCTTGAGGCTTAGACCAAGGGTCTCCACCTTGGCCACTTTAAGCCTAGAGGACTTCAACTCCCAAAATTCCCCAGCCAGCTTTGCAAAATTCCCCAGCCAGTCCTCCAAGTTTAAAGTGGCCAAGGTTGGAGACCCCTGGCTTAGACAACAGAAGTTGTGGGTGCTCTAGCATTGGGGGTTTTAAGAAGAGATTGGACCACCATTTATCTGGAACAGGGTTTTCTACTTGAGAAGGTGGTTGGGCTAGAAGACTTCCAAGGTCGCTCCCAACTCTGCTATTCTATAATTCAGTCTATTCACATTGGTCACTAAACCCTGAAACCCAAGAGAGACCAGATACTAAAGCTACATTGGGGAGTGGGGGGCAGTTGTCCAATCTTGCCCCTTAGACTTCAACTCCCAGAATGCCCTCAGCCAGAAGAGTATAGCTGGTTAGGGAATTGTGGGAGTTGAAGTCCACAAAAAGTTAAAAGTTGGGAAGGTTGACCTCCCACAGCCGACATCAAGGGTCTTCAAGAATCTCGTTCATGCCACAGTGACAGCCTAGCATAACCCACCTCTTTGGATTCAACTGCAATACAAAATAAATGGTGTCGAAAGCAAAGTTGACAATAATCGGAAATATAGTTTTATCCTTAGCACACATTTTTCCTCTGTACTTTCAGTATTTATCTCATGATAACCTGAGCCTTTGAGCACTGTCAGCATGTAGGAGTAATAACATTAAAAAGCTTACTAATCAAAACCGGATTACATACTCTTAACTAATGGATGGTCCTAATTCTTTGTGCCATTAGACCAGAGGTCTCCAAACTTGGTAAGTGTTTTAAGACTTGTGGACTTCGAGACCCAGAATTCCCCAGCTAACATGACTGGAGGAAGAATTCTGAAGTCCACAAGTCTAAAAGCTGTCAAGTTTGAAGATCCCTGGCCTGCATCATCGTGAATGGGTCTGAGGGCAGGTTTACCCAGTTCAACCCCCTTTTCCTTTACACAGCCAAGGAGAAACTCACCACCACAAACAAAAGGCAATAGTCCCATTGAGCCCAAGCATCCCCTATGAAGCTGCCTGCTGCCAATGAACCAAGAGGAGGCATTTAACTATTATTGTCCCGTCCCCACCCCACCCCTTCTCCTGGCTTCTCTTCCACGACTTCTTGTGACCAGGATTATTTATCCAGGTTAATCCTCAGCTTCCCTCGGGCCTCCCCCCCGTCCCCCCCCATAGTCAACATATACAGGAACCATTGGGGTTCAACTCACAGAGTAAGTATGCAACCCATCTTGGGAGGAAAACCACTGGCAGGGCTGGACTCTGGTTCCACCTTCCTCTCCTCCATGGCTTCTTTCTCTGCCCCCCCCCATAACCTCCCCCTCTGTCCCCCCCTTAAAGGCCCCCCCCCAGTGTGGCCCCCCCCCCCCCCCGAACCAATTTTCCCTGCAGCCAAAATCTTTCAAAGCCCCGAGTCTCTCCACTGCCTCGAACCCCATTCATTTCCCACGCTTGGGATTTGGGGGTTCGCGTCCCGTTCCCCCCGCCCCACACGCGTCGGTGGGGAGGGGGGGGGGTAGAGGCTGCGGCACAGCCTCGGGCTGCAGAGCCAGAGGAACGCCCGTCCCGTCCCATCCCGTCCTCCCCGGGGCTTGGCTTCTCCCGCCCTCGCCCGTCCCCGCCGACCCACCCGCGGACTCGCCGGTGTTGATCCAGTCCGGGTTGGCCAGGCTGGCGATGGCGAAGATATCGGCGGCCAGAAAGAGGCATCCTGAGATGATGGTCAATTTGTCCATGTCCTCCGGCTCCGGCCACGGCCCGGTTTCCCACAGGCGGGGCCCGGGCCGGGGGCTCCTCACAACCGCGGCTCCATGGCTCGGCGCGGCCTCCGACCCTTCGCGCCGCCGCCTGGCCTGGCCTGACCGAGGCCGGCGCCGCCCCCTTCGTCCCTCACCGCCGTCCTCAGGTAGCCGCTGCGCAGGGGCGACCCTCGCCGCCGCCGCCGCCGCCGCCGGGCCCCGATTCGGGACGGCGCCGGAAGCAAAACCCAAGCGGGCCCCCGCCGCGGTCGCGTCACCCGGAAGCGAAAGCGCAGGGGGGGGGTCTCTCGCTCGCTCGCGTGCCCTTCCCCTCCCCTCCCGCAGTGGGCACCAGACGGGGCGGGGCTTCTGGAGGAGACGGCGACGCCGCCGAGCGTCGCCAGGACAGCTTGGGTGGGCGGGGCTTCCTGGTCGAGGCGGGGTTTGGAGGGCGTGACGGGTGAATCGGGGCGTGGCTTCGGAAATGGCGGGACGGGGTTGGGGAAAAGGTCCCTCGTGCTGGTTTGGGGCGCCATTGAGGGGAAAGAGGTCGAAGCCGTTTTTCCTTCTTGATTGTGAGGGGGAGGAAAACCCCGATGCTAACTGATGGAAAGATAGAGGAGAAAGCCAAGCCTTCCTAATAATTATTTTTTTACCTTTATTTGTTTAAAAAAATAAAACAGCTTGCTATTATTATTTATTATTTCACCTAGCTCAAAGGACCTTTGGAGGAATTGAATAATGAAACCAAAAGAAAAATAAGATATAATTGCAAAAATGAGGAGGGGGGGGGTTGGACTAGAAGACCTCCAAGTGACGATTCTTGTCCGACCTTGCTATTTAAATCCTGAAATCCATAGAGAAGAACCATATAGGTTTGTATTTATTGGTTTTGTCTTTCTCTTTGGTTTCATTTTTAATGAAATGTGTTGTATTATGTATTGTGTATGTGTATATATATATATAAATCTTTAATAAAGTTTATTTTTAAAAATTAAAAAATCCTGAAATCCATTTTAGCAGATTTCTGGCTAACACACACACACACAGACACACCTGGTGCTTACCAACAGCAATGTGGAAACACAATTACCAACAATTATACAACCTGGGTCCAGACCAGGGGCAATTGGCTAAGGAGAGGAGATAAATGTCTGGATATCTATATCCAGTTCTCCCCCACTTACGTACTTTTTTAATTTCAAACTTGTTTTTATTTTATGTTTTATATACTATGCCGAGTCGTTTTTGTCAATGGGACTTCAATAAACACTTTTTAAAATGTGCTAGGGTGCATGACTTCTTAAAGTTTGAAAAGTTTTATTTTAGCAATGCTAAAACAACTCTTCCACAAGCGACCCGCAAATCAAAATGCGATTTATTTGCAACCAGTAGTATCCGATGTTTGACAGATAACTGGTATGTTAGACGGCCAACACTAACAGTTCAAAAGCCACAGACTTGTAATGTGTGTATCAATAGGACAGACCCATAACTCTGCTGCTACCCTAAACTAATTGCCACGTGACATTTATGCAGTGGTCGGTTGATCCACTGTATTTTTAGACCCATCTGTGCAAATTACAGAGTCTCTGAGAAAGGAGTCCTTAACTCCAGCATTTATTCAAAACCCTTAAAAATGACCCTATAGGATAGTCTCTCCACAGCTTGCTGTGCAAAACAATTACAGTATTGCCGAGCCTCGTTTTAGAAAAGAAATAAGGGTGTGTGTTTTTTTTTATTATCAGAGTTAAGAGTTTGTGCGTTATTTGCAACAGTCTTCCTTCGTTTGTGATATTCAATCAAGGTCTGCTATCTAAACTTCATTCCCTTCATGTAATAATAGTTCAGTGATGGGTGTGAGCCCATCAATGGAATGATCTGCCCCCACCCACCCACAATTCCACTTTAGCAACCATACCAGATATTTCAGAAGCTTGTGAAGGCATCTTAAATCTTCCCAGTCCATTTTTTTCTATCTTTATTCATCCTTGAAAATTCCAAAATCCATGGAATTCAAATAACATCAAGATTCTAAACGGTTGCTAGGCATCGCCATCACCACCTTGCCACCTTGATGTGATATTTTCACGCTGGTGATCATTTCCACTTTCCATGCAGTCTCTGTTTACGTTGGGTTCCAGACAGATTTCTGTTGAGGATTGATCACCATGGATCCCCAAAAGCCAACTTTTAAGAAAGAGTTAACTTTCAAGACATCGCCTTCCCTCAAGCCTTCTATCAGCGGTTCTTCAGCTAGATTATCTGACAGCAAAAGGTCACCTGACCGAGGAAGGACATTTGACAGGAGATCCTCCACCAGAGAAAGCTCGTCTGACAGAAGGAGATCATCTGTCAGGAGGCCCTCTGAAAGAGAACCGTATTTCAGAAGGAGGTCATCAGTCGAAAGATCAGTTGACAGAGGGAGGCCATTTGACAGACGGAGATCTTCTGACAGAAGGAGATCCTCCACAAGAGAGGGATCATCTGACAGAAGGCGATCATCTGCCAGGGGGCCCTCTACAAAAGAACCATATTTCAGAAGGAAGTCATCAGCTGACCGAGGAAGGACAT